CACATTAACCTCCTTTGGTGGTTGATGTTCATTTGCCAAAGTTATATCCAAGAAGCAGATATCTATATATGGATAAAAAAACCCTCTAAGCCATTTAGCAATTTTACCTGGAAATATTTAATATGTGCAAGTATCATATACCTTGGTCTACCTTTAGCTCCTAGCTGTTCTGCACTGTATTATTTTACCTTTGAACACATGAGAACCAGTCTTGAGTTATACTCAGCTCAATGAGAGGACTGTTGCCCGTGACAGCCACCAAGTATGTGGCAGGACCCATCTCTTGGAGGATTCAGTAGCCATGAAAGACTTTAATTTCTGTTCTACAACTGGAATATCACTTCCCTTTAACAGAAATTCTCCGCTGTATACTGGAGAAGAGCAAAATTAGTTCCCTTACTTTTGGGGAGAACAAGTGCCAAATGTGTCTGCCTGCCCAACCCCCTCCCAGAGTCACTCCAGCTATCCCTACCCTGCTCAGAGTGCTGTGCTACTTTAGTTCTGCATGTTTTCTTTAGTCACCTACTGGGTACTTGCACTCAAACTACCACAGGTGAATGTTCTTACCCCTCCATCTATTGAAGTAATGCATTAATTGACAAGTCATCTCTGGCCATATTAGAGAAGCTGATGGGAAGACTGACTTTTGACACCAGGAGGACATGTATGCTGGCTGTCGGGTGCCGATCCAGGCTTTCCAGACAGCTGCCCTCAGTGACATCCCTACCAGAAAGCACAATATCATAAAGGAGAAGGATACTCTTCCAGAAGCTGCTTCACCAGTGAAACAGTACTGCTTGGTACAAAAGAGGAAGAAAGGGCAAGAAAAACAGTGAGACAGACCTGCCCTTTATCACCCACCCACTGCACCAGCGAAAGATTTAATATGAAGGAAGAAGGCAGCGAAAGAAACGGACAGGCAGACCTGCCCTTTCTGTCACCCACCAACACGGCTGCCAGCAACATGATCCTCAAAGGCACCTACTGAGGAGACATGCCCACCCACCACAACAGGCTGGGGAGGCAGATGGGGTCCAGACCAAGAACTCCCCAGGACCACGGTGGGGGCTAAAGGAAGCGATTAGACCCAAGAGGAGCAGGGTGCTGGAAGGCACATGTACTGCAGGCAGACACTAATGCATAAACAGGCCAATCACTAGTTATTTTTGATTACAGTTGGAGATGATTAAGAATGGCAGGAAATGGTTAGATAAAAAAAGTACATGAGAGATTTCCTCACATGATAGCTTCCTTGCCTCAAGTCATATTTGGATGCTCTGAACTTCGCTTTGAAACACTGACACTCCAATGATGCTCCTTCCCAAGGTTCACATTTGCAGTCACAACACCTGCAATGGCTTGCCAGCTTTATCAACGTGCTAATAAGTTTTAGAGCTTTTGGTTTGTGAATGGGAAAAGCCTTTAGAAACAGGTAAGGTAACACAGAGATCAGTCCAAGACAGCACCATACTTCACTCTGAAATAATTATAGAGCAAGTGTCTCCTGCCAGCCTTTACCATATACAGAAGACAAATGGACAGTCTAGCATAGAGAGAATACAAGAGTCTCACACGTATTTTACTATGCCATATTTTCACGTGCAGCAAAATCTTCCAGAATTAAGAAAAAAAGCTTTTTCCTTTCCCCTTGAACCTCTGATCTCTAGTGACTGTGTACAGCTTGCAATGATTACCCAGTTACTTTTTAAAAAGACGTTCCTCAGCTAGCAGTGACCATCAGAACCACTGATTTAGATTATACACACAAGGTGTAAGATACCCAAGAACTATTAAGCTGTCTAACCCATCTGTCTACATTTTTAGGTATATGCAAGATATCCGCAGCCTTACTATAAAAATTTTTAAGCGTGTTTAAATGAAAGCAGCAGCTAGGTGCACCTAAAAAAGGCCTCTGACAGCATCCTGTCTCACTCCTTTTGCACCAGAAGACACTCATAACAAGGAAGACTGCAACTTGCAGTACTGTTCCTGCTTTGAGAAATGTTTTTCTTTATTTTTTTTCAGAAGAGTTTTATATAGAAGAAATTAAGAGTATTAAAGTCATTGTACACTAAGATTTTTCTAGTAAACAATAATATTCATGGAAGTGCTGGTCTTTTCTAATCATCATTCAAAATGAAATTGCTCTGGCAGACAGTGAGAAGAACCCTTCCATAAATTCTTCTAAGGAGCTGTAGCTGTAACTCAGAAATGAAACTATATTCCCATTCTCTCACAAATGCATTACATTTCTGAACATCTTGTGAATTACGATTGCATTTTCCCATTTCCAGCACTAAGCCTGCAAGAACATAATTAGTTGCATAGATAAATCATGGTGGTTTTGGGTTTTTTTGTTTGTTTGTTTTGTTGTTGTTTTGTTTTTTTTTACAAAAGCTATTATAGTCCTGAAACATTTTCTTTCCATTGCGCCCTTTGAAAACTTTAAAGACTTTTTTTTTTTTTTTAATGAAGTCTTCTGCTTGAAATCCCTATTTATTATTTGATTTTTCCAGAAGCAAGATTATTATGGTCTCTTCTCATACTTTTATTCTGGAGGGCCGGTCCTCTAAGAGAGTAGAAGACAGATGAGCCAGCTGAAGGCCAAGCATGTTATCAGTTCCAGTGCCACCGAAATCCTTAACCAAAGCCTGAATATCGTCCCACCTCTATGATCCCACTTCAGCCTTATTCGAAGATAAAATACTGCAAGTCATGAAGTTTGCTTCATAATGACAGACTGTTTCAGAGTTAAGAAAAATATTGTGCAATTTGTTTTCTGCAGTAAAAAAAAAAAAAAAAAAAAAAGGCCTCGTATTTCTCACACCCTCCCTCTCCCAAGTTTAGTTTTATCTCTCTTAAAAGTTCAGGTCATACTGGTGATACTTTTTCCAAAGATGTCCACCAAACATCTCAGGCAAGCACAGAAGTGGCAGACTGTGGGGCAGGGGTAGAAGTTGTTGTGCCAGATACGCTTTTGGGTTTTCTTGGCAACAGACCACAACTACTTATCATTTAACTACGTCTTAAGATGATGTTTCTCACTGACTTGGGAAGACCCATATCCCAGGGCTGGAATTTAAAAGCAAAGAATTTAAATTTAAGCATAATTTCATAAAACTTCTATCATGATGCAGCAGCCTTAATGATAGGTTGGGGGATTTCTTGTTTTGCTTTGGACTTTTTTTTTTTCCTTCCCCCCTTTCAGCCTGAGGAAGACACTGAAACCAAGTCAGGGGATCAGGAAGGGAAAGAATTATTCACAATCAACTAATCTTAATCACACTGAAGTTTTCATGTGTTTCCTCCAGGAACTGACAAGCTAAACAATTTCTATATGTGCCATACAGTCCTGTATTTCAAAAATCATTGTTCTTCCTTCTATTCTTGGCCTACTGACGGTTTAGGACAGTGCTGCTGAAGCAACACTCGGGTGTGGGTCTCCTGATACTTATGATAAGGACTTACTGGCAAAGAGTCTCCCATAAAAGCCTCAGGGTATAATTGAGGCGCATAGCTAACACCCCATCCACAAAACGCATCTACCTCCACTGACAGCTACTGGGAATACTTCCAAACCGCTGCCTTTGACAGTGTTTGGGGACTCACTATATAGCTAATAAATAAAGGGAAGCTAGAAGTTTCCTTCAAACACACTGAAGCAGGATAGGAACTTTCAGTTAGTGCATGCTGGAAAAGAAGAAACTGCCTTACTCACAAGGCCCTGGCATTTTCAGTCTCCAAAAAAATAGAAAAAAAAGATAACTTTTACTGTATGTCCTTAGCTTGAGCTATATTCACTGTGCTAAAACAACTTTGGTCTTTTTTGCAGCTCTTCCAAGTTATCCATCAGAGCAATAGAATACACTTAGTCCTTATCCATCATCTACAAGCTCAGCTGAAGAGATCAGTGTCTCAGTTTCCGACTGATAGAGGGGCTTGAAGAGAAAAACCACAAACAAGCTACAGAACCACAGGATATAGTAAACATTACTTAAGCAGATTGCAATTATACTACACTGAAAATATGCAGTATCAAGTTCAACTTTTTGTATACTCGGCTTCAAAACCAGCCTTTCAAATTGCAACCCCTCCATTTCTGCTGTAGTATTCCTTTTATAAATGAGTTAGATTCAGTAGTAATAGACTGATAACAATGACACATTTTTATTTTTGATGTTCAGCATTGAAGCATTACAACTTTCACACTTCACTGGAGCACAGAATTTACTGAGCAAGAACCTGGCTGCCAAATAGCAGGAGAGGCAAACCGTGGTCAAAGAAGTCTAAATATCGTACTGAAAGTCATTAAGTGCCCTCTTATCATCATTCCTCTATTTTTTTTTTTTTGGGGGGGGGGGGGTGGGGGAGGGGGGGGGGGGGTGGCGAGGGAAACGGTGGAAGCAATCGCTGTGTCTAGCGGTCTGAGCACGTTAAAACGCAATCCCCGACCAGCACCGGCCCGCGGCAGCTCCGCGGGGACCAGCAGCGGTGCTGCCCGCGGCGCGGTGAGGCGCGGTGCTGCCCCGCCGCACCCCCACGAACGCCCCCCCGGGCACATTTACGGCCGGGTCACACAATGGAAACGCCACGGCGAGCGGGGAGGGAGAGCGAGGAGTTTTTATTGTTGAGGCAGCGCCAAGGCAAAAACCGAATTCGGGTCGCAAGGCCCCCGCCACCAGCGCGGACGGGCGCTGCCCCCACCCCTGGTCCCAGCTGCCGCCCGCCCGCCCCCCACCCCCTGGCCGCGCTGCCACCGCGGGGGGGGGGTGCGGAGGCCCCGGCCGTGTCGCGGGCCCCTCCGCTCCCCTCGGGCCGGCGCAGCCCCCGCCGCCCGAACCCGGACCCGGACCCGCGCCCGCCCGGGAGACGGCGGGGCAGCAGCTGCGGAGCCGGGCTCTCGGCGCCGTCCTCCGGCGGCAGGGAGCGGGGGAGCGGCCGGCCAGGCCCCCCTCGGCGGGCCGGGGAGGGAGCGGGGGGCCGGGGGCGGCCGTACTCACCGCGCGGGCCCCGCCGCGGAGCCGCGGCCGCACTTCCTGTGCGCGGAGAAGCGGGCGAGCGGGCGGGCGGGGCGCCACCGCCGCCGCGGCCCTTAAAGGGGACGGCGCCGACCGCCCCCGGGGCGGGACCGGGCGGCGGCCGCCGCGTTTGTGGGAGTACACACCCCCCTCCTCCCCCTCTCCGCCCCCACTCGTGGCGGCGGCCCACGGCGGGGCCCTCCGCACCCCCTGAGGGTGAAGGCGCGCCGGTGCAGGCTGGCAAGGCGAGAAGGAGGTGGCCGGGAGCGCGCGTGGGGCGTGTAAGAAATGCCTCCCCCCACGCACACACACACACACACACACACCCGTGGCTGGTAATAAGCAGAGGTTCCGCGGAGGGAGCGCTGGCGGGGGCGGGCTGGAGCGGGGCAGCGCAGCGGCAGCGGGGGGACGGCGGGTGTACAAATGTTAACGCACCCGCGGAACCGCGATGTAGCCTTTGTGCTGGAGACAGCGTCTGCAACAGGCAGAACTTACTGGTAATTATTTTCTACTTACCCAAATATTTACAGTTCTGTATTTCCATAAGAACATTTCATTGTGTATATATATATAATTTTCTATTTTTTTTTATTTTTTATTTTTTTCTGTAGGGCTTGACTTGAAGTCAGACTTAGGATCTTGTGCACCTTCCAGCTATCTGTAACAGCTTAAAAGGGTGAGGCCAAGAACAGCTCAGGAAGCGGATGAGGGAGTAATGCTCTTTCATAACTATATATCAAAGGCTTCTGGCCCCAGTCGTCAAAAACCGAGTCGCAGGCGCTCAGAAGCTGGTAAAGGTTTATTCTGCAAAGACCTGTGCCCACCGGTTGGCATCTCGGGTGGTTGGGCTGAGCGCTCACCCGTGGGGACGGTAGGCACCGAGCGCTCTGGGGAGCGGAGCGCGGGTGGCCGCGGCAGCAGAGGCCCCCTCCCCGGTCACATCCGTGCTCTCCCGAGGTCTGCACCCCGTTTAGCCCAGGGCAGCCCTTCGTCTTCAGGCAGACGGGAGCCCGTTTGATCACAAAAAGCTACACCACACAGCCCGGGAGCAGGCTGCGTGTCCAAGGACCTGGTCTCTGCGGTCTAGATTCCAAGTCCCCGGGCAACAAAGGTCTTTCCAGGGAATACCTTAAATAAACCATGAGTGTAAGTAGTCAGGGTTTTTCCACACGGACTGGAAACCCTCTTACTACTCTCTGCTGTCGGTCTCCACTTTACTGCTCTGGTCCATTACCAGGGAAAGCGCCCTTGGCTGGCATGACCAGCCGTCCATGCGGGCACTTTCTTATCCTTTGAATCTTATCGTGAGGCTGGACCGTCAAAGTGTCCATCAAATATATATTTGAAGAGCCTCGTGAAGAAGAGGGTTGTCAGATGGTTTTACTTTTTCAGGTAGGTGCTCCTGAAACTACTAAATATTGGTTCTTTCTTTTTAAAAAAAAAAAAAAAAAAAAACAAACAAAACAAACAACAAAAAAACCACTATGTAAATATACTACCATTTTAAACCTAACCTCGTGCAAAGTTTTGGTGTTGCATGTCACAGATGACTGCTGAGTACCCCTCATCTCCCGCTTGTCTTCTGCGTTGTGGTAAATGGGTAGGAGTTTACTAGGCACCTGTGTTATTTTACTGGTGCTGGAGACTGCAATATTCTAGACATACTATTATTTGGAAGTACAAGAATATAACAGAACGGAAATAACTGAAATTACTGATTTCATTAACTAACGCTACAATGTAGATTTGAAACAAACTCTGACAACTCTGCATCACCCACTGGTTGGTCTATAGAGAGCAAACCAGACTCTGAATATTGCCCTTCAGGCTTTCCAGGTACTTTTTTTTCTGCACAAGAGCTACTTGCCACTATGTGGGGAGATCTCTACAGGAGATTGTACGCAGAATACTTTTTCTTCTGTTTTAAGTGCCAGTTTCTTCCATTTACCAGAGTTCTTTCAATTTCAGAAAGACTGTTTTTATTTTATTCGGATTCAGGGAAGGACGGAAGAATAGGTTTCTTAAACTCTAGTAATAACAGCTTCGGTATTCGTAGTCATCTCTGTATAAGAGGTCTACCACGACAGGAAAACCGATGTTTTTGCAGTGATGTTATGTATAACTTCCTGACTCTTCTACCAGAATGAGCTATTCCAAGATTAGACATTCCTTCATAACTCAGACCTATATTTATGCTGACAGATGTTGTAGTTCCTATTTGGTGTTAGTCTTATGGGCCTACAGAGGAATTCCCAGTTTGTTTGTGAATAGAGCAGGCAATAAAACATTTAGCAAATGTCTGTGGTTTAAGACACAATTCATTTCAGCCTGTGGATTCTCCTTTGAGATATATTTGCGAACCTTCCAGCATCTGAAAGCAGTAAGTGTATATGTACAGGTGACGCAGCTTTGAATATTATTAAAAAATTATTATGATAGGATGATTATTTTAGAGACATAGAGACAGACATTAAAAAAGTTTTGCTAAACTTTAGTAAATGCTCTTCTTAAATTAGTGCAGTTAGGGGAAAGGAAGTGGCTGACAACAGCTGATTTGAAAAAGAAGAGTTTTCCAGAGCAGCATTAGCTCCAGCTTCTAATGGGTTTGGTTTTTTTTTTTTTTTCTTCTTTTTTTTTTTTTTTTTCTTGCCTTTTTTTAAGCATATGTGTGGGCTGGATGGGAAGAAACAATGGAAAGAAAGAGAGAGGAGCTGATCTGAGAACATGATGCTGAAGTGAAGGAATAATGTAAATGAGACTGAAGGAGAAAAGAAAAAAAAAGCAATCCTTCAACAGTGGATGTTTTTGTTCTCTTATCCTCTCGAGCCAAAATGAAATGTGTATGTGGAATAAGAAAAACGGTCTGTTATTTTGCCTGAAAATTCAGAGCTTTAATTGCCAAACAATAGTCATTAGTTTGCCTTGACACAGGGCTTTTTGTCAAATACCACAGCTCAGCATTACTGATAGCACAATTCCAACATGATCCCGCGTTTCTTTATCCTTGTTTTAATTGTTGCAAATTGTTTATAACAGATACTGAGCAACGCAACCAAAAGTATAAAGAATTTTTAATGGCCTGAAATAAACTATCCTACAGTATTTTAATCATCTTGATTTATAATTTCTTCCCTTAAAAGCCTCATTTTTAACTTTTATTCTAAACTGTGTTCCATAACACTTTGTCACCGGTCCTGTCCAAATACATCGTGTTGCCATCTCCTGTGGTCATAGGAGAGGTGGTGAGCTACAGCAGAATGAGCTTACATCTGGCGTGGGGAATGCCCACCTCGAGCTCAGGCTCTGCTGTGGATGCTGTCGTGTGAGCATCAGCCGGGTCACCGTAAGGCTCCCCCAGGGCTCGCTGCCTGTGTACCTCCCAAAGTAAAACGGACACCGGGACTGCCTTAGCGTTACCGTGGGGCATCTACAGGGAGTATTAAAGGTGCTTGGAAGGTCTGGATATTTTACTTCACTGCTTTAGAGGCTGAAATAATCTCTTCATTTATGATAGGTTTAGGAGAGACAGTGCATACGTAAACTTACCTCACACCAGAGCAACTCTACCATGCAGTAATCTTCCTATATTTATTGTTACTGTTCCCTTTATTTTGCACTGTAGTGACATTTTGATTTTGGCAACGCTTAGGCTCTTGGCCTCTACATCTTTGAATGCTGAAGTACTGCATTTATTTGTGTAGTGGTTTGGTATCAAATAAATACTAACTCTTTGGTATTATAATGAACTAAAGTTTGGACCCAGAAGCATATAATTTATGTAATGTTTGGGAAATGAACTACTATAGATTGTTTTTTCCTGCTGTTTTGGGATCACAGTTGCTAAATTACTTCCTTTCAGAAATTTCCCATAGAAGACAGTCTGTACAGACTGTATCAACCGACTCTAAATTTTTACAGAGTCCTTTCATACATTAAAGCAGACTCGGTAATATTTATACTCATTCAAGAAAATAGAAGACATTCCTTATCGGAAGAGATAATACAACCACAACTGTAAGTGAATGTAAGTAAGATTTCATTTTTTCTACTATCCAAAAAAGCTTTCTTCTGGTAACAAAAATGCTTATTATAGTCCACTTGTTTTTTCTTTGAATAGTGATAATTTAATGTCACTTCATCAGTGCTACTGGCATCTGGAAAAGCATATAGAAGGATGTATCAGAGTTGTTCTGATACAATCTCTTGAATAAGTTTTCCTTTTTACACTCAATATATAGTCGCTGTTAGCAACAAGTGTTTGCTGAGCTCTTTGATGGGAACAAATGGATCCCAGAAACGTTACTGTACGAGAAGTACGGGCGTCACTTTGGTTTGTGCTGCAGAGGAGGGGGAGCGCGGAAGGGCAGTTGCAGGGAGCTGCGTTCGGTGCCCATGCTCCGCTGCCTGCTCCTGCCGAGAGCAGCAGGCACTATTCTGCAGCAGCTCTTCCTGACCGTTTTTCCTGGCCACGTGGCCTTATTTTTTCTGGCAGACACAATGGGTTGTATGCCCAGGGCTCCTCAGCTCACTTGCAACTGCACCAGGGTATCACGTCAGACTAACCAGTAACAGCACGTATGGAAAGTAATCCGTGTGTGCTGTGCTGGAATTCTATATTGGTTTATTTCTGACTGTTCCAAGACACCTTCACTATACAGCTTCTGTCTAATGACACGGAGAAGCGCTTTAGGCATTGTTCTAAAAAGAGAAGACAATTTTGTCACAGATATATTGACTGTAAAGTAGCTCTGAAAGAAAGTCCAAGCAGCCGAATTCTGTACCTAGAATGGAAAACAAATTAAGAGGACTTTGACTAGAGGACTCAATATTATCAAAACATACCAAAAATGACACATTCCTTTTTTTTTCCCTTCTCCAGCATTGCAGAACAGGAACCTGCTAAAACTATAACGTAATATATTTAAAATCAATCCTATTAAGTTACTTCTTCAAGTGTAGATTTCAGTGTCTAAGATGCAGAAAGAGAAATAAGTTACATCGTTCAATATATGAGATTTAAGCCAGGCAATCTTTCATGAGCACTCCTTGTCTGAGAAGATAACAGCATAAATTATCAAGGTCTTTT